TTCTTGTTTTGTACTGACGAACTGGATCTGACTGGCACAGGAGGAGATTACCCCTCCTTCTCCAGTGGAGCATCTGGTGGATTTGAACCATGCACCTTCAGGTTTGCAGTGCAGCTGAAAATGATAAATTGCTTTTGTTTTTTCCTCCTATCTCTTCATCTTTCTGAAAAACTGTCTTAACTATCATCCACTCTTGGTCCCTTTTTCAGTTTATACTGTCATCCCTTTGTTGTGTACCATTGAGTCAGATCCAACTGGCACAGGAGGTGATTACCCCTCCTTCTCCAGCCGAGGATCTGGTGCATTTGAACCAGCGTCTTCGGGATTGCAGTGCAGCTTCTTGCCACTAGGCCACCAGAGCTCCCTTTACTTTCATGTGTCCAGGGGTTGTGTTATTTTATTTCTTTTACAAAACATCCCTTTCTTGTTTCACACATGCAAATTTTCTCTTTTTTTCTCTGAGAGACATCCAGGATACAGGCAAGAAAAAACTGACTGGCTTTTGATTGCATTTAACTGATCAGGTGAGGCCAGGATTGCAGGGCCTGTGGTCGGGACCTAACCTTTGCACTGAAGGAATCTCTAGGTCTGTATTCTGAGGCTTTTCTGGATTGGTTGTATCTCCTGCCTGGGGCATAAACCTGAAATCCCTCCCTGTTTACAGTCCTTTCATTTTATGGCTAGGAAATTTTCCTGTTTGGTTGCTCTTGGGAATGCATCTCCCACTTCCTAGCATGAGGCAGGGGGAAGGGAAGTGGGGAGACTCAGGAGCTGTCTTGGCTGGGGCCCCTAGAAGTACAGCCAGAAAGGAGATGGAGGTTCTTGGAACACTTGATTTCTGGAGGGAGTGAGCAAAGCAGGCGAAGAAAGTTAAGAGAGTGTGATCCCAGCAAACAGCTGGTTGCACAAATCATTCCAAGAAGTTAGTCTCACTTTGAAGGTAGGGCAGGGGAGAGGGGCGGGAGGGTGGAGTGGTGACCTCCCCGGCATTGATTCCCAACTGCTGTGACTCCACGTCAGTACTGGGCAGTCCAGTCGATGAGGGTACAGCTGTGGGCCCTCCGCTAAACACACGGCAGCTGGAAAATTGAGTGCATCAGCCTGAGGGAGGCCTCTGAGTGGATGTTCACCAGCGTTTGCTGCAGGGCTCAACCACACTGTCTGGAAGCTTCAGAGCCCCGTCCCTGCTTCCATGTCTGTCCAGCAGGAGCACCTGCTTTAGGCTCTGACGTGTGCAACATAGAAATATTTACAGCGCTATTTCATGAGGATTTGGAGGCTTGTCTGTTAAAGCAGGTAGCATCCTCTTTTTTTAAAATTTTTTTTTAGGTAGCATCCTCTTAACTAAGGCCAATTTAGTTTTTAATAGAAAAATGATGAAATCTGGGGCCCGTTTCCTCTTGGGAATCTTGGAAGTGTTTGGAAGTTGGGAGGTCAGCTTTCTTCCAGGTCCCAAAGTCTCTGGCCTATCTCTAAACCTAACGAAACCCAAGGCATCGTGGCAGTCAGCTACACCAACTCCGGGTATGGACCATCTGTGTCTGCATTGCGCATGGTCACCTACACGATCAGCTGTTAACTGACCCGCCCGATTCCCCTAGTAGAGATTTGCAGAGTCGCTGTACCCAGTAGCTGAGTCACCCTGGGCCCCGCGAGCCCCGGAGGTTGCAGAAGCCGCAGTGTCGCTGGCAGAAGTTATGCAAGCGCGCCCTCTACTGCCCGAAGGAAGAACCATCGCAGACACAAACTGAAGGAACACCGTCCTAATGGCAATTAAAGTTTAAATTGCTGGACGATCTCTCACAGCTGCTTATGCAAACTGATGGTGGAGAGAAGCTGGTCATTGACACCCTCCCTCAATGGGTGCACTGAACTTGCTGCCATCTGATGTATTTTAGATATGCCCCTATCAGCACTTTATACATAGAGTGTGTGTGTGTGTGTATCAGCACTTTATACATACCGTGTGTGTGTGTGTGTGTGTGTGTGTGTGTGAGAGAGAGAGAGAGAGAGAGAGAGAGAAAGAGACAGAGACAGAGACATCTACTAGGCAGGCATCCTCACCCTTATTTTACAGTTGAGGAAAACGAAGTTCAGAGCCATGAATCTACAGCACAAGCAAGATACATAACTGTGCCTCTCAGTTTAGGTCTAGAGGGGAGGTCTTTCTTGCCTGACCTGTGCCCTCCTACCCCAGGTGATACTTAGTATGTCATCACTGTTGATTCAGTCCATTTGCACACTGCCTGGGAGGGCTTCCCCATCTCATTTAGGGGTCCTTTCCTCCAGGGATCATCTTCCTTGGTTCACCCAGGCAAGCCCCAGGCCTCCAAGGACCCCATTCCCCCCCCATCCCCACCCGCCTTGGTTCTGTGGGTTCACAGGGTATATACTTGGGTGACCACTCCCGTGGAGAGGGTCAGCCTTCTGCACCAGCCTCAGCCGAGCAGACACCACTATCTTCTGGCCAGCTGTAAGCAGGCAACAGCCCCCTCCAGCACAGGACGGTAAGGCCTCTGAAAAGGTGCAGCAGTGGGGAGGGATGGGTCACACCCCACCTGTAGAGGGCGCAGGAAGACATGGCGAGGCCTGACACAGACCCAGTCAGCGAGGCAGGGTGGGGACACCGTGAACTTGTGGGCTGTGGAAGGACCAGACACAGGCTGTACGGCTCACCAACAAACACTCCTTTTTATTAACACTCATTATCATCATCAATTTCCAATGTGGGCATAAATAGATCCATCAGTGAAATACCCTGATTGGGAGGGCAGGGCTTGTTCGTGAGGCTAGGAGATTCCAGCTCCTTTACCCAGTGGCCCGGCTCTGGGCTGCAGGCCTCCCCATACACCCTGTTACTCCTTCCTTCTACTCCTAGTGGCCCTGCATTCCACCCTCAGGAGGGGTGAGGGCTGACAGGGCCAGGTGCTGTTCAGATGGCTGAGAGGCACCCAAGGCTGGTCCTTGGCAGAGGGCAGACAGGGAGATGAGGAGAACGGAGGTCATGACATCAGACACATCAGCAATGAAAGATGTGGCGTGTGGAGCAGAAGCCCAGCTGACCTCAACCATGAGCCAGCTCCACTCTGGAGCTCACTGCCCTGAGGGGTGGGTTGCTACCTCACCCCCAGGACAGAGATTTCAGGCAGGAAATGCACACTCACTCCCGCAGAGTCAGAACTGACTCACAGCCCACCACCCAGCAGGCTCCGAGGCTGTAAATCACATGGAAGGAGACTGCCCACCTTTCTCCCTCAGAGCCACCGGTGGACGTGAACTGCCTCTGGGTTACCAGTGCGATTCCCTACAGACAACACCAGAGGTCGCTAGACAAGGCGGCCAGGGAATGCTGAACATTCCAGATGGACAAAGCTCACTGAGTAACCGGGACTGAGCTAAATAGATGCTCAGTGCCTGACAAGGCCAGCGGGGCTCATGGTGGGAATACGGACGGTTAGAATAGTCCTTCATCTGACCCAGGGCGAACATCTCTGTGTGCCTGAAAGGCTGCTGAGCTCAGCTCTAGTGTGTGTGTGGTGCTGAGGAAGCTAAGAGGTCTGGCACACGTCCTCTGTTGAGTGGGACGGACCCAGAGAAACTGGGCCAGATATGGGGAAGCAGCAGGGAGCAGGGGTCACAGAATAGACACAAGTTTGATTGGAAAGGAAACTTCTGGGCTGTAGCAACTGGATTTAAATGTTTCCCACTGTTGATGACAACGCCCTTTTCCTTCTGGGCTAATACCAGAGTTGGCCATGGGTGGGTAAGGAGGACGTGGACACTCGCTGAGAGGTGTGCAGAGGTTTACAGTCACCCTGGCCAGCCCAGCCTGTGGCTGAAGGAACATAGAGGCTCCCGGCCATTTCCATTACCCACCCTCTCCCTCTGAAAAGAAGGGCCCATGTGGATCTGGGAGAAAAGACCCCCACGGGGGAAGCCAAGGGAGGAGACCTCACAGCACCGTGGTACAGGACCGCCCTGGTCTCAGAGTTGGGCTGGCACCATTTGTAAACATTAGACGTAGTGATGTCCCGGGGTGGAGGACAGGGATGGTTGCCTGAACCATCAGGGTAAGAGAAAGAGACATGGGCGATGTCGGCTACCATGGGGAAGAAGCCTGCCAGGCTCAGGGGGCCCAGTGGGGACTGGGACTCCACTCAGCTGTGCTGCCCCTGGAGTAGCATCCAGCCCTGCTGTGACAGGCTACTCCGAAGAAGGACAAGGATCCCCGTATCTAGTCTTTATCTGAAGGAAATCAGCCGCGGTCCTGTGTTCCAAGACCAAATGTCCCTTTCCCTCTCTGGGTTCCAGGCACAGAGAAGTCAAGAGCTGGGGAGTGGGGAGGGCTTCTCAGCAGGAAAAGATCCCTTCTATCGTCCCTGGCACTGCCAGGGCTGCACAGCAGAAAGGGAGCTGCGCTGGAGATATCTGGAGGCATGAGCCCTGCTTCCCCGGTCCAGGAATGATGCCAGAAAAGATGGTCCCTAGAAAAAGCTCTGTCTTCTTTGGGAGGCAGTGGTTAGGCCAAGAGGTCCACAAAGATGGCATTTGCTGTAGTCTGGCCAAAGATGAAGGCGCCAAGGGTAACCAAGAAGACTCCGTAACCCACCAGAGCCCACCAGCTACAGGGGAGAAGATGAGAGAGGCCTCGTCAGTCATCCAACCCCACAACTCTGCAGGCTCCAATACACCAGCTAAGTACCGTAATTATTTGGGCTCCAATACACCAGTGAAGTACAGTAATTATTTAGGCTCCAATGTTGTTGTTGTTGTTATGTGCTGCCGAGTTGCTTGCGACTCAGAGAGACCCTATGTACAACAGCTCGGAAGTCTGCCCTGTCCTGAGCCAGTCTGACTCCAACACACCTACCACTATTGCCCTAGTTACTGTATCAATCCATCTCATCCGAGGTCTTCCTCTCCTGTGCTGCCCCTCCACCATTCTGACCATGATGTCCCTCCAAGAATTGATCTTTCCTGGCCACATGCCCAAAGTATGTGAAACAGAGCTTCAAAACCCTAGCCTCCAAGGAGAAATTTGGTTTCACCCTCTCTCCCATCATGGTATGTTTCAATACTCTTCTTCAGCACCACAACTCAAAGGCATCAATTCTTCTTCTGTCATCTTTAGTCATTATCCAGCTCTCTGAAGCATAGCAAGCAATTGTGAAGACCATGGACTGGATCAGGTACACCTCAGTCTCTGGATTGACATCGTTGTTTCTCATACAATACACCAATGAAATATCGTAATTACTTAGGCTCCAATACACCAGTGAAGTACCGTAATTTCTTGGGCTCTAATACATCAGTGAAGTACCGTAATTACTTAACCTCCAATACACCAACGAAGTACCGTAATTACTTGGGCTCCAAAACACCAGTAAAATACCGTAATTACTTGAGGCTCCAATACGCCAATGAAGTACTGCAATCACTTAGGCTCCAAAACACCAGTGAAGAACCATAATTACTCAAGTTCCAAGATACCTGTTAAGTACTGTAATTATTTCAGTCACTTCTGTTTGTAGAACCCTCCCCATCTTCCCAAGGACTTCCCATTCATATATAAGTGGGAGCAGCTGTGTTATCCCTGCTGTCCTCAGTGACTGTGGACTCCTGGTGACCCTGCATGTACAGAGTACAATTTCTCCACAGGGTCCCCAGGCTTTGACCTGTCAATAGCAGATTGCCAAGCCTGTCTTCGAGGTACCTCTAGGTGGGTTTGAACTGCCAACCTTCTGGCCAGCAGTTGCGCAATTAACCACCTGCACCACCCAAGGATTTTGTTCTAGCCCACAGGTAAAGGGGCTGAGACCTAATGGAACTAGCTTAGTGGTCACAGCAAGCTAAAGATAGGACCAGCAGAGAAGGAAGGTCTCTTGGTGTAAAGATGTTCAGGAAAAAGCGGGTTATGTGGACGGTGACCCATTTCATTTAAAAAGGAAGGGGGAAAATCAGACATCTGCAAATCTAATTTGGAATTAGAGGTGTAATTTTTCTTTTCTTCTTTAGACTTGACCATATTTTCTAAGTTGGTTTTTTTTTTTACAATCAGCAGTCAGTGATCATTTAAATAATTTTTCCCCCTAAAGTATGCAACCTATTTTTCAAACTCTCTAGTACCAGAGGACTGTGCATATTAAAACAGTGAAAAGTTCCCCACGCCCTGCCCCCCCCATGAGACTAACAAAAACTAAAGGAGGCTGCTAGGTGTGCTGGTGGTAGGGCCGGGGAGATGGGTGCTCTCATGCCCTGCTGCTGGGACCACGCTGTGGACTCTCCTTCTGGAGGCCACGTGACAATGGACATGCACTGGGACCCGGAAGCCTCCTTCCCGGAACCCGTTCTGAGATCTGCGAGCGTGTGTCCGGTAAATAAACGCACAAGAACATTCACATTCAGAGCACAGCCAATAGAAGGGGAAGTGAGTCTATTCGTCTTGATACAGCATCATCCCCAAGGTCAATGGTTTAAATGAGATAAAAAGAGAGAAAAGAGCAAGTGTCAAAGCATGAAACCATTTACCACAAAAACCACTGTGCACACGTACGCGTGCGTACTCCCTGAGAAAGGTCCAGAAGGGCACGTGTCACACTGCTGAAGGGAGCTGTCTTTGGAGAAGGACTGAGGTGGGGGATGGGGCTGAGGGTGAAAAAGTCCTTTTACTTTATTCTCTGAAGAACTTCTGTAGTGTTTGAAAGGTTGCAAATAAAGAATACTAATTTTTAAAAAAATTATTAAAAATAGGGGTGGAACCTCCTATATTTTAAAAGTATGTAGGTCTCCTGACTCCTACCTCTTTTTTTTAAATTTTTTTTTAAAAAATTTGTGTGTGTGTGTGTGTGTGTGTGTGTACCATCAAATGGGACCTGACTGGTGCACGAGGAGACTGTCCCTCCTTCTCCAGCACAGCAGCTGGTGGATTGGAACTGTGAGCCTCTGGGATTGCAGTGCAGCTTCTTGCCACTAGGCCACCAGAGCTCCCTAACTCCTACCTCTTTTAAGGTCCCTTACAATCCCCCCCTAGTCTGCCTCCCCGAGATCATGCCTGCTTACCTGGCTGGCTTGACTTCCTCCATCTCAGAGAGTTTAGCTTGAATGAGGCACAGCCCTGGAAGAGAAGAGGTGGCCCTGAGAGCTTAGGGGGGGCGCCTTACCTCCCCCTCAGCCTGCTGTTTACTAAGAGGCGGAGGTGGTGGGAGGTCAAAGAGGCTTGCAACTCTCTCAGCTGTTCCACCTCAGCCCGTCTCCACCTGCAGCTGGACGTCTGGCACCTGCCCCCACTCGGTCCTCTCTCCTGGAGTGACCTCGTCTATAAGCACCCTGGGCTGCAAGCAAGACAGAGCTACGGAGGCAGCACTGGACAGAGACCTGGTGGGGCCATGGCCCTGGGTACCTCCCAGCACACAGGTGACCTCATGGCTAGAACCATGGTCACCTGGAACTCACGGATGACAAGAGTCTTAGCATCTAGAGTTTGTTCCAGTGCTGGAACACAGGTCTCCCCGTTTTGGTGCTGGGGGAGGGGGCCAGGACCAGACCCTGTTATTCCTGCCCCACAACCCCCAGTCACAGCCAGGGAGGACGAGGATAGCTACTGTGGTTAAGAGCACTGGCGGTTGGGAGCTCTGGTGGCCTAGTGGTAAGGAGCTGCAACTAACAATCCTAGAGGCGCACGGTTCGAATCTACCAGATGCTCTGCTGGGGAAGGAGGGACAATCTCCTCCTGTACCAGTCAGATCTGATTTGACGGTACACTTACACAAAAATAATAAAATTTAAAAAAAAAAATTAAAAAAAAAAATAAAAGAGCACTGGTGGTGACAAAGTTGTGTCTGAAAAGGTTCTGTGCTTCCCTGGCTGTGCATGTTAACTCCTCAGTGAGGAGGTCTCAGTGAGGAGGAGATAATCAGCCCTTCTTAGGTGATGACACTGTGCCTGGGGGTGATCAATACACACTGCCGCTTACTCTGTCAGCCAGGGGAGAGCTGGGGCTGGGGGGTCCCGGAAGTGAGTGCTATCAGTCCTGTGCAGCCATGCCAAGGGGTCCCCCGGGGCTCACCTGGGAAGATGAAGATGAAGCAGGTGGCCAGGCCTCCGATGACAGAGATGACCTTGCCGATGTCGGGGATGAAGAGGGCCAGCAGCAGGGTGAGGAGGAACCAGACCAGCGTCTGCAGCACTCGCCGCCGCCGCTCCCGCCCCACGTCCTCCTCCACCGGCACCCCCTGGTAGCGCAGCCACAGGCCTTCCACCACAGCCCTGCCACAGGCACAGGGGCTCAGAGGTGCCCTGGCTAACAGGCCCCACCCGGCTCACACAACCCAGACTCTCGAGGCTACGAGGCTCTGCTTCCTGAGCCTTGATGTCTAATTCTGGGAAACAGGCCTTACCCCCCTCTCCCCAGGAAGAAAAGGTAAATGTGAAAGGCTTGGTGCTGTACTCCGTCCCACGGCAACTGACAACATTATTCTCAACAACAGGGCCCTGGGGAAGCCAGCGAGCTGGTGTTCACGTCAACGCTTGGGAAATGATCTGACCTTCCCAATCTTAGAAGACTCACAGAACACTCCGGTGTCCCCCGGGACAAAGGGATCTCCAAGGGGCCCCGGAAAGAGGTGGGGAGGGGGCTCACCGCCCACAGAAGTGCAGGATGGGATAGGAGGTGAGCACGCTGAGGATGATGAAGGCTCGGGCCACGGCCACGGCCACGTCCTCTGATGGGTAGGACAGGAGCACGTCGGGGTTCACAGCAGCTCCAAAGGTCAGAAAGCCACAGATGCCTGCAAGCAGGGAGAAAGGGGAGGGGGTTGGGCACCTCCTGAGAAGGTGGGGGAAGGTCTGTCCAATCCTTAAGGTGACAGGTGAAGCGTGAAGTGCCTGGATACAAGCTCTAGAGCTCCCTGGCCCGACGCGGTCTGGCCACACCGCCATCTCTCTCATCTTGAACTTGCTCGGCTCGCTGCCGTCTCAGAGCCTCTGTGGTCACTGTCTGTCACCCCCAGACCCTCATGCTGCCATCTCCTCCTCATTCCGGTCTCAGTTCAGATGCCCCCTCCTCAGAGAATGGTTTCCGCAGGGCTTGTCTCCAAGAACTTCCATCTCCGGCCACCCTACTGTTTTATTTCTTCAGAACACTCATCTCCGTCTGCATTTTATTCTTTCTCATCTGTCTGCCCGCCCAGGACACAAGCCCCAGGAGCTCAGGGCTGTGTCTCCTCTTCCTGGCGGTCTTCCTGGGGGCTGTCTGTGGAGGAACACAGGCCACGGCGTGTTCTTTCTGCTTCCCTCGTCCTGCTCCCTCATCACAGCACCCTGCACACTCCAGCCACAGCCTCTTCCACTAAAATCCCTTCCTTCCCGGCTCCCAACCATCCTGCTGGTCCCCACGCTCAGTCTGAGCTCACTGCCTGCCTCTGGCCACACCTCACTTCCCTCCAGCTGCACACACCTTCTCTTTCTTTCCCTCAAGAGCTTTGCATTTTCTGGTTGGCCCAGTTTGCAATTCCTCAAATGCCACCACCTCATTTTCACCTGTGAAACTCTCCTCCCTGCAGGCTGTACCCACCCAGTCACACCCAAACTGGCACTGTTTTGCAGACATCATGCCGCGCCCCCCACCCCCAGAACACCTCGCTGAATCTGGAAGGTGGATTTTTCTAGACTGTCTCCCCATCCAGAGGAAGGTCCCTGAGGGCAGGGCCGGGGCAGTCTCTCTTCTACAATCCCCCCACCCCCACCCCTGCGAGGAGAGCAGCTAACTTGGCACCAAGAGAAAGCTGGTCAATGAACGGCTATCATCCTGACAGGAGTCGCCATCAGGCCTATAAGCGTTTGAAGGGCTGCAGTGCAGGGCTGTTCCCAGCAAAGTGGAGCCCCCCACCCCCAAGGCCTGGCCTGCAGCTCATACTCACCCGTGCCCATGTAGACAGCAAGGGCTATGACCATGGCGGCTGTCACCACCCCACCCCAGGTCTTCACCTCGGGCCGCTGCATGCTGTTGAAGACAGGCACGCTACTCACGTGGCACTGTTGGGGTGAAGGTCATGGTCATGGTGGGGAAGTAACCTCATCTAGTTCTAGAGGGAAGTAACTTGGGAACAAAGAACCTGGGACCAGGGGCAAGTGTAGAGCACCCTCCCCATCCCATCCTTTTTCCCAGGAATCCCCCGATCCTCCCTGGAATGTGGGTTCCAACTTGTGGGGTGAGCTAAGGAGACAGTGAGGACCGCGTAGCTGTCACCTGAAATCCGAAGCAGATGGTGGGCATGGCATTAAACACGGCTACCCAGGAAGCGGGCCTGTGGACGTAAACACACATGGGGCGTATTTCTTTAGATGACCAGACAGATTCACCAAAATGTAGAAAACACAGAAATCACAGATGAGCACAAGGAGGTTTAAGGAGTTCTGGTGGTACAGCGTGCTCCGTGCTGGGCTGCTAACTCTCTGGGTCAGTGGTTTGAATCTTCCAGCTGCTTCATGGAATAAAGACAGGCAGTACCCTCTGCAAAGATACACAGACTCAGAAACCCAGAGGAGGGCTGTGAAGAGCTGACGTCAGCTTGAGGGCTGTGGGTTGGGCTCGCTTTGGGAAGTCAGGAAGATGTTCATTTATACTCTGGCCGTTTATTTGTATTTATTTATACTCTCCATGCTGATTCACCTGCTGACTGCTTGTGATCGATTCTCTCTCTGCCTCTGGTTCTCACTCTTCCGTTCAGTAACAAGAGATCAAGACCTCTTGCTTCCTGCCTACAACGACCAATGAATCAAGCCAGCCCCAGAGTGAACCTCGGGAGCAGTGCCCACGTGACCTTGTGATGCCCACCCCAGCACCTCCTGGGGCCCCAGTGGTCGACCTCCACTCCAAATGTCTGCCGGGGGCCCTGCTCACCTGGTCAGGATAGCCCCCGGGCTCATCTCTTTATCTGGCCAGAAGTATTTGATGATAACGATGGCGGTGACATACCAGGTGCCCACCACACTCAGGAAGCTGCCGAGGAGGAGAGATTGGGTACCTTCTGCCCTGGGAGTGTTTCCACGTCCCCAGGGCGGCCAGCTAAAGTGACCCCATGTGTCTAATGAATCAACTGGGAGACTATTCCAAGTAAACGCCTGAGAAGTAAGCTCTGAGGAAACCTGCCACACAGCTGGAAGGAAGCTAGACAGACAATACGGGAGCAGATGGACATTCCCGGTTACAGGGGGTACACTGGTTCAGGGGCTGTCAAGGCAGCTTGGTGAAGGCTGTAAGCAGGACATTCTCCGTACCTGGCCTTTGAGAGCTAGGCAACGCTGAGAGCAAACAGGTGAGTTCAAATATGCTACAGTTACCACTGAAAGGGACTTTTGTGACAGCTGAGGAGGGGTCGACCCTTCATTCACACATTAGCAAGCAGGAGGGTGAGGCAGAAGGGCCTGGAATCTTTCAGAGACTGCCAGAAAGCCCATCTTCCCTCCATTTATCTCAAACTGCATGGAAGATGCTGCTCCCCTGACAATCTCCAATGATCAAAATCCCGCCCTTCCAGGCAGGCCTGATGATCCACTTCCCATAAATTAGCCATGGGCAGCCCTAAGGAAAGCAAAAGAGAAAACAAGGAAGCTGGATGTTCATAGAAGAAACTGGAGCTAATATTTTCCACGAACCACAACCTTAATCATCGTGAGACCAGAGGCACTAGATGGTGCCTGGCTACCGAATGTTCTTACCAGGGACATGAGCAATGGTCCAGATAGAAGAAAAGGGTAAAATGATACTCAAGTTCTTAAGAAAGGCCAGACTTGCTGGCTTACACACAGACTAAGCCAAGAGGAAGCCCCAACACAGTCACCCTGAGAAATGCCTTCAATTTGAACTGTAAGTACTACTGACGTCATCTTTCAGTTAAATCACAGAAACCACCCATATCACCTGTGAGTACTGTCCTCCCTAAAAGAAAAAGTCATCGCTGAGACCACAGGGTCAACAGTCAGCCTCCAGTGAAAATGAGAAGGCCTGGGGGTGTGTGGCAACCTAGATGAATGATAAACAACCACCACAACTGAATAAAGAGAATGCTAATACAATGTGGAAAATGCTACGAATGCCACTGAGCAATTAGTATCGAAACTGCTAAAAGACAACTAATTTGCTATGTAAACTTTTACTAAAAACACAATAAAATATAATAAAAGAAAATAAAAAAAGGGGGGGGAGAACACAGTGCTACCCTGACACACACGAGCTGTAGCTGACACTGTGACATTATTTTTTAGAAGAGGCCACAGTAGGTCATGCTGCCCACAGCCCCCCACACGGGGTGACAAAGGGTGGCAAGAGGGACAGAACTCTACCGTATCATCCTCGTGGATGTGGCTATGTAAATTACTCCACATGTGAAATGTTTTCAGAACTCTGTCCAAAAGAAGAAAGTCAACTTGGAGGTTTTTTTTTTTTTTTTAAAAAAAAAACCAAAAACACCAGAATTCTAATGAAGCCTAGAACAGATGAGGAAAAGACCTGTTTAAAAGGAATATATGATCAGGCATTATACATATGATAGTTCACAATAAAGGATGCATTGCAAAGTGAACTAGGAGAAGGGGAAGGGGAAGAGAAGAGGCAGGAGGAAAATATGCAACAATGGATGAATGAAACTCCAACTGCTCTGTAAACTTTTGTTAAAATCACAATAAATTAAAAGAAAAGGACAAAACCCTAAAACTAAACTAAACATCTCACCTTCCAAGTGAGGGACAAGCCCTGGGCCAGCAGGCTGCCGGCTCACTCCTGGTCACCCTGGTTGACAACCCCCAGATCCCAGGACCTCACTAGAGAAAAGGGCTGTCACCTTGCCGCTGACAGGAGAGCAGACCCTGGTCCAGCCTGCCGTCCTGCTCCTGCTGCCCCCAAAGGTGAGGAGGTACAGAGAGGGAAGGGTTTCTCAGCTGCTCTGATTGGATGTCTGCCAGGTGCTGGGAAAGGGGGGGCAGGTAGAGGAGGCAGAGGGCCGACAAACCTGGCATATTTCTGGAAGCCGATCTCCCTGGGGATGGACAGGGGCAGGATGAAGAGGAAGGCGGTGAGGCTGATGGTGAGCTTGCGGTCTGTGTACCAGGGCCCACTGTCAGCGCCCTCAGGCTCCTTTGCCATCACAGCTATAACTGCCCGAGAAGGAAAGAGGCAACGTCATGCCAGGGAGCCAGGCAGTCGTGTTCTGCTCTGCTGGCCTTGTTCAGGGCCCAGGGCCTCAACCCAGCGTCAGATCACCAAGACACAAGCTAAGTTCACTCATCTGCAGTGAACAGGGGCACAATTTTTTTTTCCTTACTCCATCCAAGTTTCTGCTTCTAGGTATGGCTGGAGTCTGTCTCGCACACAAATCTATAGCATCTCCTACGTAACCTCGTTGCTTTTCAAACTGATGAGGCCACACAGGGACAGAGCAGCCAGTTAACATGGTAAACATGGGTGTACCTGTGCTCCCTTATCTGCAGGTTTTCACTGTATCATGGGGCAGGATCCCTGTGAAGCTGTTCACTAGGACCAGCAGCGTGGACAAGCCAGCCTGTGCTTACCTCCCCCCCACACCCCACGAGCCCCAGGGACGGGAGAAGGGGGGCCACCGCAGCAGCCTCACTCTTGTCCTGCTGGTCTCCGATGATGATGAGGAAGGCGATGCAGGTGCCGAAGGTGTAGACGGCAATGAGCACCTCACACAGCACCCCGGTCAGCCTGCCGCACACGGCCCACACCACCTCCTGGTACGTCCGCTCATTGCTGGCCTGGGAGCAGTAGGCGAGGATGACAAGGCCGCTGATGATGAAAACCAGCATGCCCTGTGGGTGCGGGCACAGAGCAAGGAGGTATGTGGAGGCCGGGAAGCGGAGCGCGTCCGGGGCTCGGCCAGCGTGTCCCGGGCCAAAGCCCAAAGCAGGCTTCGCAGCTGGGCCTCAGCTCACAGTGCAATTGTGATTGACTGCTGGAGGCTGCCAGCTTCCGACTATCTTTAAACACACAGGTTTGTGGAAACGTATACAAAAGTCAAATACGGGTGCTACTGCTCCATCACTAAGCCTCAAACATGATCAATACCCAGCCAGTCGTGTTTCATCTAGGGAGCCCTGGAGGCATAGTGGAAAGAAGCTGTGCTGCACTCCCAAAGGCATATGGTTCGAATCCACCAGTTGCTTCCTGGGAGAGACAACAATCTCCTCCCTTGCCATTAACTGCCTCTGAGAAGCTGATGCAGGGTCACCTACAGGTCGGTTCCGACTTGATGGTATACAACCACCACAAACACAACCACAACTTGTTTCATCTATATACTCAACCCCCATCCTGATTAAACTGAAGCAAATATAAACTCATCAGTTCATTAATAAATATTCCCACATACAATTATAAATGATAAAGACCTTTCTTTTTTTCTTTACAATGATTCATTCATTGCAAATACCTTTTAGAAAACCCCCCATAAATGGCAACTATACACTTAACCAGATTCCTGTGTGCAAGAATCAGAGACTGACTACCTCTGTGGAAAGTGTATCAAGTATTCATGTGCAAATTCAAACTGAAGCTGAATAAAATGAAGATGTGGCTATGAGAACCAAAATAGAAGTCTAGTCCACCTGAATTAAAAAATCAACTCAAGAATAGATTTGGTACACTGATCACTAAAGAAGACCAGATGTGTTGTGGGATGACCTCAAAGTCCTCCTTTTAAAAGCAAACTATAAAATCAATGTAATACCTAAAAGAACGAGATGTGTAATTAATTGTTCAATCTGTCCTGCAGGTTGGGAAGGCTGGTGAAGCCTCTCCTGGGCCTGGAGGAAAGAATGCTAGACTGATTAGTAATGTCTGTCAGGGCTGCTGAAGGGGAAGTTTGGCAGCATGGGTGTGGCCTCCTGGTGGTCCGGGACCCAAAGCCTCCCCTTCGAGGCAGAGCCCAGACTCACCACCTGCCTGGTCCCTTGCTCCCCACACCAGCACCCTTACTTACCATCTGCAGTGTGATGCCAGCTGCCACGCCCCCGGCCGTGCTGAAGGCTGCTGGGAAGTTGAGCAGCCCGGCCCCCAAGCAGGCGTTGACTACGATGAAGACGGCGCCAAGCGTGGAAGTGGTGCCTCTGCTCGGACCCCCGGGAGAAGGCTCCTCGTCAGTCTTGGGGGCCGTGTCCACACAGGGGCTTTGCAGCAGGCGGGCCCGCTCCCCGGCGTCCGTGCTCCAGCCCCACTCATCAGGGTCGCTGTTGATGCTGACCTGGGCCATGGCCCCTAGAGCCCTCTGCCTTCAGGGTCCGTGGGTTTTTGTCTCACGACCGCATTAGTGTAGCAGAGGGGACAGTCACAGCTTAGCTGGAGGGCAGCACCACCCTGCTTTGAGCTCCCGCCCTGGGAGGCCTGTGCGCTGTGACTCTTCTCAACCTAGATGGGACACAGGAGGCACTGCTGACATCCTGAGATGGAAAACCTGGAGCCTAGAAAGATCAAAAAGACCCCAGCCTAGATCACATGACTGGCATTCAAACCCAGATGTGCCTCCTCCCAGAATACCACACTGGAGTCATGGGGGCGGTGGCAGACGCTAATCCTGCTTGCTTCAGCCTCACAGCCCCACAGAGTAAATAAAGAGGCCTCATGTCAGCACTAGAGAGAGGCCAGGCATCTGGCCAGGTGTGTCCTGGACATTATCTCATCTCATGCAAATCATATGACAGCCTCAGGGTCATAACGTCTGAGAGGTCAGATCACTAATCCCTGGGCCACAAAGTGGCAAGGGGCTGACAGGACTTCCACGCTGGAATTATATGGCTTTCCAAATTTTTTCACACAGGGCCCCGGAACAGCCAGCACGAAGAACAGAGCCTTTGTGCCAATGCACCTCCCTCTGACAGAGTTTTAATTCTGCACGACTTCTGATGCTGTTCAAAATCGAGGCCTTTCTTGTTCCCCTTCCACAGCAATGGGGTCCCATTAAGAAGTTGAGCTGCCCGGCTGTTAGGCAGACCCTAAGATAAAGACAACCCCACATGGGGGTGTGGTGTCCATTTGAGCACCCAATCAATCCCACACTATGAAGGCTGCAGCCATACTTCCATACCACTTCTTGCTTACTTCCTGGATACTGAGTTTTCCACCAAGCACACAGGGACCTGGTACTGCCCTGCACTTTCCTCGTGTGCTAATACTTCACGACACCAAGCCTGCCCTCCTGGGCTACAGTGCAAGCCTCTGCAGCTGAAAAGTACAGTGTCAATAGCATTGGTCACTGCTGAGCTCATCCAGTCCACCTGGAAGCCAGAAAAGGTGGACACGACTGTCACCATCTTACTGAGAAGGAAATTGAGTCCTAGAAAGGTGCAGCTCTCTACCCTGGGTCACACGGTGATCAGCGGTGGAGCTGGGATGCGAGCCCAGTCCTGTCTGATCCTGGAGCATCCGTTTTTACCTATTTCACCCTTGCATGGTACTTTGAGCAGAGCCGAAATCACTAACAAGCTTGTCACCTGATTCTCTTCACTCCCTGGGTAAACAGGGACGACTTACAGTGTCTTCATAGGCCTTGATTCTTCTCTTGAAAAGTGAAAAGAAGCTTCCGTTGCCCAGAACCCTGAGATGCTCTGACCCTAAGTACCCAAGGTTGAACACACAGTCTGAGCCAGAGAGGGGGGGGGGGGGAGAGAGAGAGAGAGAGAGAGAGAGAGAGAGAAAGAGAGAGAGAAAAAGAGAGAAAAAGAGAGAGAGGGGGGGAGAGAGAGAGAGAGAGAGAGAGAGAGAGAGAGAGAGAGAAAGAGAGAATATAGCTCTGGATATATCGGAAGCAAGCCAGGGTAAGGGAGGGGTTGTGATCTTGGTCCCTGATTAGACTTTGAGGTCAGAATCCTGACCCTTCCACTTCTTAGCAACATGACATTAGGCAAGTCATTTCACCTTTATAGACCCATTTCCCTTTGGATAATGGAAGTCATAAAATCATTGGCCTCATAAGTTTCATGTTGTTATTGTTGTTATGTGCCATCGAATCGCTATCGACTCAGTGATCCTATGTACAAGAACCCTGAACCCTGCTCTATCCTGTGCCAACCTCACGGTCTCTGATACATCTACTCCCATTACTCTAATCACTGAATCGATCCATATCATCAAGGGTCTTCCTCTCTTGCCATGTCCCTCTACTCTCCCAAACTTGATGTTCCTCTCCAAGGACCGGTCTCTCCTTGCCTCACGTCCGAAGTATGTTAGACGAAGCTTCAGAATCCTTGACTCCAAGGAGCAACCCAGTTTCACCCTCTCCAGGACAAACCTGTTTGTTCTCCCAGCAGTCCATGGTATATTCAACACTCTTCTCTAGCACCACAGCTCAAAGGCATCAACTCTCTTATCATCCCTAGTCACTGTCCAGCTCTCCAATGCATAGCACACAATTGTGAAGACTATGGCCCGGATTAGGCGCACCTTAGTCTCCAGCCTGATGTCATTGCTTTTCAGTACTCTGGAGAGGTCCCTGACAGCTGACTTTCCGGATGCAATTCATCTCTTGATTTCCTAACTGCTGGTACCAAGAGTGTTGACTTCAACAAACTAAACATGTAAACTAAAACTGTTAACTATCTCAATCTCTTCATTATCCATAATGATACTACCAATTGGTCTAGTAGAAATTTTTTGCACATGCTTCTTCCCATGGCTTCTTACACGCATGCCACCCAAGGATGTTCAACCCTAGCACGCAGACAGCAGAACCCTGACCCAACCAAGGCCTGGTACCATCGGTCAGGTAACAGTGGGCAGAGACACCAGGGCAGCTTTGAGAGGAAGATCAAGAACAAGAGCAAGGGGTGAGTGGGCAGTGGGGACTCAGAAATGGGCTCGTCTCCAGGGATCCAGGGAGGGGCCGCTGCGGGCTGGCTGCACATACATCGGTGGCATGTGCCAATGACTATTTCCCTCTAGTCTCCTCATTCCTGGCCTTGAACCCAGGCTATCCATACAAGACGCTGCATTTCACTCTTTACTCGTCCATCTATGGTAAGTCTATGAGGAAGAGAACAATGGGGGCAGAGTCTGAGGTCCTGAAGACTTAACTGTGATGTAAAGCTCACAGGGTCATCTCCTCCACCATCCAGAGAGGCCTTGTTGGACAGGGTGACTTGTCCAAAACGACAAGTCGTAGCAAGCCTCCTAACTTCTTCTCAGCTGTGCATTACCTCCACAGAATGCTGTTACTCAGGGATGAGCTCTGGCTCAGGTCCCTTGGCTGTTTAGAGGGAGGGTGGCCCCAACTCTTATTAAAGACTTCGCATTGGTCCATCATCTCTTAACCTATCCCCCCTCCACTCCCATCTCATCGCTCAGCTGCACATCCCAGGTTACCTTTTCTTTCCACTTGATTGGCTGCGGTCAAGTTCCTTCTCTCCAAAGAACTGTGATCTGGTTATTCTCAGTTCACGCTCTTGCTCCAGTTACTTCTTTCTCAAGAGTTTACCTAAAATCCGCTGTCAGCAGAAAGAAGAATCTGGGCTGTTTCTATACTGTGATTAGCAGAAGTGGGGAGGGAGACAGGACGAACGGTTCTGACTTTTAACTCAAAGAATGGAACCATATTACATGGGGAAACACATCCATCCATAGAGGGAGAGGCAGCCCAAGGTCACTGGGTAGTGTCCAGAGAAAGAAATGGAAGTCTATTGTCCATATGCAGAGGCCAGCGTGTGATCACAGCACTCAGCCCTTTGGATCCCAACCAGAGCGGGCGCTCAGTCCAGCATGGGTTTGGAGCCTTGAAGTGCAAGGAGTGTGCTTTGAGAAGTAGGCTGGGGTCCAGATGGCAAAAAGGGGCAGTTTCTAGGCCTGAAGTGACAAAGGTGGGCTACTGTGATGTAACGTGGGGGTAGGCTCCAGGTCCAGATCCTGGCCTAGCCGGGGTGAAGACAAGCCGAACTAAGGCGCGGCCAGGGGAGTCAGCGCTGCAGGAGGATTTGGGGGTGCACCCTGCTGGCGCACAGCCCTGGAGGGAGCGGGCCGGACTTGGCAGTGGTGGGGGGCTCTGCACACAACCGCTTCCACCCTCCACCGCCTCTCCCCGCTCCCACCTACCTCCGGTGCTTCATTCTGGAGCCGGCTCAGGAGACACGTGAGCATCGGTCACATGATCGCTCGGCCGGAGCGCGCCGCGGAGCACGGCGGTCGTTGTAGTTTCCAGCTAGTGAACATCGGCTGGTTCGCAGGGGCGCACCAGCTGCGTCCCCAAAACCCACCGCATTTTCCTGAGCCAGCCATGCGCTCAGTCCCGATGTGCTTATCCTGTTAACTCTAGGTGAGGTCTGCTGTCTCAGCCAAACACCCGAACTCATTTGGAGATTTGACGTCGCTGTTAGTCTAGCTTCAGAGAGCAAGTTACTTGGTTTCAGCCTTGCGTCACTCCTCACTGCCATCTTTATGTTCCTCCCAGTTCTCTCAGCTCTACCTTCTGCCACTGATTCCGGGGTTCCTTTAGAAGGACAATTCTTATCTCCTTAAGCCGTGATTTTTTACTTCCGGAGACAGGTTTGATCTGGGGATTGTTTACCCTTGGTGCTAACAGTTAGGAGATCAGAAGACATTGCATTGGTCAGGTCTGTTGTGAGGGAACTTTCCAAAACACTTAAGAGCAATGATGTCAGCTTGTACACTAAGGTGCACTTGATTCAGGCCATGGTCTTTTTGATTACCTGCTATGCATCTGATAGCTGGACAATGAATAAGGATGACAGGAGGAGAATGGACACCTTTGAGTTGTGCTGGAGAAGAATACTGAGTAGTCCAACAACCGCCAAAAGAGCAAACAGTATTGAGGAGAGTGCAGCCTCAGTGCTTCTTGGAGGCAAAGATGGCAAAGCTTTGTCTTTCATACTGGGAACATGTAGCTATGTAAGGCTGTTCCTTGTAAAGGTACACACGTTTAGAAAGGTGGAGGGCCAGTGAGAGAGAGGAAGACCTCCAATGAGATCATTTGATACAGTGACTGCAGCAACAGGCTCAAGTGTTTCAGAGATGAGGATAGGATATCGCAGGATAGGGCAGGGTTCACTTCTGTTGTTCATAGGGTCTCTATGAGTTGTACTTGACAGCATTACACCAAACAACGAAGACGACGTAACACCAGGGCTTAGGTTCTGGAATAGTTCTTGGCGCGTTAGAGGTACTTAATACTTGTTGAAAGAAGGAGTGTCTGAAGAGTCCTGCTTCTGTATCAAACTATCATATAATCTGTATCCTAGTGTTCTTGTCCACTCTGAAAACATACTCTGCTACACACACCTCTTCCCATGCATCCCAGGTCTGTACTAATGTTTCTTTTTAAAATTTTTTTTTAATTTTTTTATTATTATTTTTGTTGCGTGTACTGTCAAATCAGATCTGACTGGTACAGGAGGAGAGTGTCCCTCCTTCCCCGGCAAAGCATCTGGTGGATTCGAACCGTTCGCCTCTGGGATTGTAGTTGCAGCTCCTTGCCACTAGGCCGCCAGAGCTTCCCTGTACTAATGTTTCTAATGGAATGTTTTGCTGAGAAATTAGATTCCTATGCAACTGAATGAAAACAAATCTTACAACTCTTTTGCCCAGATTATTCCAATTTCACAAAACTATATAGTACAACATCACAACTAATATATTGACATGGGTACAATCCACGGATCTTATTCAGATTTCTCCAGTTTGACTAATCTCTTATGTGTATCTATTTCTATGGAGTCTTTACTAGACCCAGAGAGATTAGGCATGTGGATAGCTTTAACAAATACTGCTGGAATTTTCTTCCACCTCAGTTTACTTGTTCTCTCATCAACTTTAATTTCAGCCACGTTGGTAGGTTCACAGGCGATTCAGTGGTTTTCCTGATAAACAATAAAATATTTTCATGTGTATTGATCCTAGAGCTATCCTCCATTGTGAAATATTTATTTAAGACTTACTTACTTACTTTATTGAGATTGGGTTGCCTTAATTGGTTTGTTAAAGTCATATTCTGAATTTTAGTCCTTCATTATTTATATTTTCTCTCAGCTTCATCTCATACTTTGGACATTTTTCTATGAGAGGCTATTCCTTGGAAAGGGATATCATGCTTGGCAAGGTGGGTCAGTGAAAGAAAGACCCAGACAAGATGTACTGACATGGTGACAACAGCAATGGGCTCATTTGTATCAGAGATGGTGAGGATGGTACAGGATTAGAACAGGATTCAGCTCTGTTGTTCACAGGGTGCTGCAAGTTGTACTTGGCAGCCCCTAACAACAACAACAACAACTGTATAGTCAACTGTTATCTCCATATGGAGAGTTTTTCTTTATTTTCTATGAGCATAATTTATCATTGAAAAACTATCCTATTAACATGTTTACAAAACACAACTTGAAAAAGGAAAAGTGGTCTTTCATTTAATACTGAACAAACAAAATGGTTATTTGGGTTTTAAACAATTCCAGAGTCCAGAGGCAAGGGGAAAAGTTCAACACAAAATACTCAAGTTCGTTACGGGAGTTGGACTTTGGTTTGTTCAAATGTGAGCTCAAAATCGATTAGTTTTAACAGTGCCCAGCTGGCTGGCCCATGCACCAGGTGCATCCAAATCACCTACAAAGAATTTATTCTAATAGCTAAGATCCCACACCTTATTCCAGACACACTGCATCAGAATGCCAGATGTGGCATCAGTCTTTTAAATGAACTCTCCAGATTTGGGAACTAGTCTACTTTCAGTAAAGATGAGACAAACACACAACTTCTTTCAGAGCAGGTAAAATTCCCCCTCTTCCATTAGGCTAGAAGAGAAAGTTAACACTCTCCATTAAGACTTAAAAACTAGTCAAAAAAGCTGAGGTTCTGAGAAAAAACAGCATTCACATACCTTTTCATGTGCCTATTTTCAGTGGGGAATGAGGTTAAGTCCAGGGTGAGCCAGCAAAACAAATGTTTACAAGAATGGGGCCAACAGTGTGGTCAAGCTCCTTTTTCAGTTAGTCGAGGTCGTGGCCGCTAACTTTTTGCCAGAGACACGGAAATGATAGAAGTGTTTCATGTACCTCTGGGAGCAGCTGACTGATGTTTCTTTCCCCTCAAGATTGTTGTCCAAAGACAGTGAACCAGTCTGTTCACTCACCTTTCCACCACCTGTGTATAAATATTAGTAACAGCAACACCCTCCCCCACGTCTCCACACACTGGGTTTTTCAGGAGGCGAGGAGGACCACTTTCCCCCTCCACCCATCATTGTATGTCGATGTCCTGCTAGAAACTTACTGTCCCTCTTTATAAAACCCAGACACAGTATGCATTGCACAGCAACCAAGGGTTTCAAACAGCAGAACTGTACTGGGTCAAAGGCGGCATACCGTGCCTCTTTCCAGTCCCGGCAGGAACCCAACCTTCCACTTCAGGGTTCTGTAAGGGCTCGCTATGCCTCTTTTGAGTCTCCCAGCCCAGAGCTTCGACTCCTGATTTTTCCCATTCCAGTTATTGTCTGCTTCATCCAAATTTAAAAAATTTGGGGTTTGTTCCAAGTTAAAAACTTGTTCCAAGGCCCTGATTAGAGGCGGGAAGAAGGGGTCAGGGAGTTGCTGTTCAGGAAACAGTGCTGCTTATGATGATGGAAAATGTGGCAACAGACAGTGGTGACGATGTCCAACATGACAAATCTAATTTTCAGTGACTTGCACATGCAAAAAAAATGGTGACTGTGTAAATGTGTTTTACAGTTAATAAGAAAACTCATCAGTCCACTAACAAAAGCCAATATTAGAAACAACCCCCAAGAGATCAATTATAATCAGATAATTAACTTGAAATAATATACAGGGAGTGAGGGAGCTTTGTGTGGGGCCTAGTGGTGAGGAGTTGCACCACCACCTCAAAGGCACCCGGTTCAAAGCCACACGCAGTCAGCTCCTGTGTGATTTACTGCCTCTGAAAACCCGCCGGAGGGTCAGCTAGGAGTTGGTTCAGATTGGAGAGCATATGACAAACACGTAAGCAGGACACTTAGTCAGAGCTCCGCCCCAGAGGCAGGAGCTGTTGTACTCCCTCTCACTGTAACTCGCTGATGCCATAGTAACAGCCAGCCCACCCACACGCTCGCTGTATCAAAGCCCCACAGATGGCTGGTGGTCCTGAGTCCTGTCCCCTGCCTGCATGACTGGCAGCCGTCCCATCTCAAGCGCTAACTCGTGCTAAGCAGAAGGGGGCGTAACTCAAGACAGGGCTATGCCAAGCAGGTGAAGATGATGAACGCCCACAGACTTTGTTAGAGAGCAAAGATTGGCAAGCTGCTTTTGCTTGCACATTTATTTAAGAGTAATTTGTCAGTGATAAGCACCGCCCCCCCACCGAGAAACAAATGCGATTTTCGTTTTTCTTGGGAAGTTTAAGACCTGCAACCCTGGGTCCTACCATTTCCCTGTTTTATGTAACACTGAGTTGGAACTGATTATTGTTGACCCTCCAGTGTATTTTCAGAGGTTAACAAAATGCAGGGGAGGAGACTGCCTATCTTTACCCCATAGAGCAGCTGGTGGATTCAAACTCTGTGCCTTTGGGCTGGCAGCGCAGCTCTTTTCTACTGAGCCACCCACCACAACTCCCATTTCCCTGTTGTTGTTTTGTGCCATCAAATTAGGTTTTCAGAGGCAGTTAATCTCATTTTTCTCCGACTGGGCAGCAGTGGATTTGTACCTCACACCTCAGGGACTGCAGCCCATCTCACCAGCAGACCCCTGAGCTCCCTCCCATTTCCTCCTACCCGTTAATAATGAGGAGGGTTGTTCACTAATGGCCAGTGCTCATCCAGGTCCCCTTATGCTTTTACTTCATATTCTCTTTTTATTTACATTTCTTACCTGACCTCCTCAGTACTCAGAGGATCCTTTGTGGAAGTCCACTTATCTTCCCAAGTCCAAAGTATTGATGCTCAAATACTGATGGGGAAGACAGAGATGTGTCTTCAGTCTAAATTTGGGATAGCCGACACATCTGTTGGCTTATGGTCAGTGGCACATGACTCCAGACTCCTGGGATGTGTATCTACTCCTTTCCCATGTTCCCATTTCAAGGGTGGGGGAAAAAAAAAGACATTTGAGTACCATCTTAGTTGGGTCTACAGCGATTTTATTGTAACAGAGAAACCAAGCTGCAGTAAATCTACATGATTAGAGCAGATGGTGGTCATCTTTGCCCAGGGGGAAGCCCGAGCCTGACTGGCACACACACCAAGTCCAGCACCCCATGTCTCCTGGGGCTGCCGTGAGCTGCCTGCTTCACCCGGGGTGAGTAACTGTACAGCCACTCTTGGCCAAGACAGGACAGGTCTCTATCGGCAGAGGTGGCGTTCCGACAGGGAGAATGAAACGATGATTGGAGAGGAGGTGGAAATCAAAGGATACGTCTCTTTTGTTATCTACGGGAAGGGATGGCATGAGCATGAAATGATGTTCTTCAGTCTTAAAATCAATAGTGATAGAAGGGGGGGTCAATAGACCGGAAGAAAATCTAGGCTGGCGTAGAGAGGTTAAGGATCTAGGCTAATGATGACAGATCTTTGTGTTGGAGGAAAAGAAAAATCAATGATAAGGATTAAGAGGGGAGATTTCAACTGCCTACAGGTGTTAAAAAGGAGAGCCTTCCTTTTTTAAATAAGACAAGAAAAGGTCTATTTTATCATCTTTGACGTACCTACAGAGGACTCAGTGCATTTCATCAAACACGATTTCTGCACGGTGCTATCTTTAGGAAGGGCAAACACAAAGCCAACTAACCAATTGCTAATGTCAACACTACGTCTTCTCGCAAAGCGTCTCATATGTGTTATTTCTCATGTTGGTGAACAGAGGAACCCTTAGCACGCAAGGTGCTCCAGTTAAAGCTTCTGAAATATTGCAATGGTACGATTGACAGATTTTTGGCTCTGACTTTCTTACACATGTAAACTCTTTTGGGAAAGCTGGAGATAAAAGGATTGGGGTGAGCGTGGGGATGAGGGGGAGAAGAGTTTGGTTTTGGAGCCACAAATGTCCAGCCACTGATGCCTCTGCCCTATGTCACTACATGATCTTTTCTGCAAAACACATTCAATGGCTGAATGTTAAGTGTTGTGGTTGAAATAAACGATCTGTTAACCAGCACCCACCCTCCCCCGTCCTCCTCGTGCATCTCACAGCAGAGGCTGAAAACGGACAGGCTGCCCCTGTTCCTCCCGACCAGAGAAATTACTTGGTGACCTCGTGAATGGCATGGGCAAGGTAGCCCACATTGCCAGAGGTGACGCCTGCCACGGAGATGCGGCCGTCCTTGGTCATGTAGATGGAGAACTCCTTGGTGAGCCGCTCCACCTGCAGAGAGAAGAGAGCAGGGCTGTGACCTCCTGCGTCGGGGGGGAGATGCTCAGGGCGGGCACGGCACAGGACCCGGCTGGGTAAAGCAGGAAGGCAGCAGCAGCTGGTCCTGCCATAAAACCCATCTGCAGGTCCTGGGGCGCTAGCTCTGAGCGGCAGCAGGGTAAGATCCTACTCTAACCCACAGCTATCACGGAACGGAGCTCACAGTGACTCTACACTGTAAGAGGGGAACTACCCAAGGGCTTCTCGGTCTCATCGTTCTGGAAGCACACTGTCACATCGTTCTCCCCTGGCGTGACCGACAGGTGTGACACGCTGATTGTTCAGGGCTAGCAGCTGGGCGAGCGCTTAACCGTGGTAAATAGTTCCCACATTTTAAAACAGGAAGATGAATTCTTAATGGAACAGGGGAACAAAGTCTCAAACTGGACTCCTCCTGTGGCAGCACCAGTCAGGCCACTGCCTGAGTGGACTGTGGTTCTGGGATCTCTTTGGAAAAGCACCAACACAAGCCCTGTAATCTCATGGAGGAGCAGACCAATAAGCAACTAATAAAACCCCCCAGTAAAATGCTACACCCCACCTTTCCCTCAGAAGGCTCCACAGTAACTGTCCAGAGTGACCCTGAGCTGGTCTGCGAGGACCGCACAGCCGACCGGCTGTGGGGAAACCGGGAGCGGCCTCACCTGCTCGGGCTTGAGCCCCGTGAAACAAAACATGCCGATCTGGTCGGTGATGTGCTGCCAGTTGTGGGAGGAGCCCTCCTTCTTGAGGTTGGACACCAGCTGGGTCCGCATGCTGATGATGCGGTCGGCCATGCCTTTCACTTCCTGCAACCTGAAAGACCCCAAGATGAGAGGAGATGGAGCTGGGCTCAGGGTGCTTTAAGCATTACTGGGCAGGCCAGCGCCCGCGGCATTCTTCTCCCACGCACTGCCTGCCCCCACGCTGTCGAGTCTGTCTCAAAGTGGCCCCATGCGGCAGAGACTTGCGCCCTGAGTTTCCAAGGCTGCAGTCTTTACCAGAGTCCCATCTTTGTCCTGAATAGCAGCTGGCGGGTGAGGCTGAGCATTAACAGCTGTGCCATGACAATCCCTTCCTATATCCCCTAAAGATTTCTCCCAGAGGAGACATGCAATTTTATTTATATTAAAACACTAGTTTGATCAGGAAGAAGAAGTTAACATATCTGGGCTGTTAAAAATTAACAAATCACTAAAATTTAGGAAAACTGAGGTTCTGTAAATAGTCCCTAGTGGGTGGAACAAATTGAGCTTGATTGCTTAAGGCTTGGCAGTTCACATTCACTCAGAAGTACAGCAGAAGAAAAGTCCTGGCAATCTGCGTCTACTATGATCACAGCCAAGAGAGTTCTATGGAGTAGTTCTATCTGCACACATGGGGTCCCCATGAATCAGAACGGACACGATGGCAGCCAACAATATTAAGACTCTCTATCCTTTATGCAGGAGCAAAAGCTGTGGGTCAAAATAATAAAATCTGACCGTATTGTTAACAGGGCTGGCAATCGGGATAAACACTCCTGCCTTCACAATAGAGAAAGCGCACTAAAATGTGCCGAGTGCTCTGTCCTGAGGAGAGGAAGGACCGAGACATGGGCTCTGACTGCAAAAGTTCACGGGCGAGTCTGGGAGCCAGACTAGCAGCCAAACATGGGACATGGCAAAAGGGCTAAGAGTGGCGGAGCTGTGCTAAGGGACCCCAAGATGCTGTTGTGGAGTCAGAACCGACTCTCAGCTGCCCCTCCAGGGGTTATCACATGGGGAGGAGGCTGCCCACCTTTCTCACTTAGAGCAGCCGGTGGCTTTTAACAGCCTTTGGGCTGGAAGCACAACTCATTGCCACTAGGCCACCAGAGCTCCCTAAGAGCGGCCAAGAAGAGACGGTACACTGTCAGATGGACTAGAGAGGGGGGTCCCCTGACTACATACACAAGGCTGAGCCGGGGGTGGACGCAGCCTCCCTCTTCTCAGAACCAACTCTCTTCCTACTACCACGCGTTCACAGATACCCTTGCTGGTTTGTACCAAATCAATCACTGTAGAAACACAGTTTATCTTCTTGTTCTCATGAGTTCACTTTCTTAAACCTTCATCCTGAAGTGACGTCATGCTCTGTTAAAACAGAATCTATAAAGTGCCAATTAGGGCCAAATAAGGGTGTTAGTCACGTTTTATTAACCAGTCAAACATTTTAAAATTGGGCACGTGCACAGGAGAGCTGGGGTTTCGAGCTTCTCTAGAATGTGAGAAGCTGACAACACTGCACCAGCAGCAGCATTACTCCCTAGAGCTGGGGAGCCCTGGCCCCTCAAGAGTGTCATCTGAGGTCCAAGTTTCCTGCAGTCCCCTCCACTGGGCACCATTCACTTTGAGACCCGCGTCCTGCGGGCACAGAGTGCGTGCCCCTTGGCAAAACCCTCCATCCTTCTTGTTCAGATGGACTAAAGCTGTCGTTTCTTGCAGTATCAATCGAGGTCCTTTACAATTTGCTCCTCCTTCCTAGCTGTGGTGCTCTCTCCCTTCTTTTCCATCCCCTACCTTTGCCATCTGTCTCATCTACTTGGGGCATGTTGTGAGGAGAAGCCAATCCTTGGAAAGAGACTACTGGATCAGCAAAGGGAGAGGAGATCTCTCAACGAGACGGACTGACACAGGGACTCCAACGATGGCCTTGAACATGACGGAGACCGTGATGGCGGCACAGGACAGGGAAAGGGCTGCGAGGGGTCTCGGTCAACTAGACGGCAGTAAATATGACTATGGATGTGAATTGCTACCATGAACGACACTGGAGCTCTCTAAACACCTCTACACAGGGCTCACCACACGCTTCCAGAGACCGATGTTGGCCACCTGGCACAGTATTTTGTAGACTACAGACTTTCAAATGTGTACTGAAATGTCCATGTTTAAAAAAGCAAAACAAAGTATCTTCCTAACTATCAGGGCATTTGGAAGTATAAGAACATACTTGTAACATGGGAGCTAGATGAACGCCTGAAACTACTGCCTTGATGTAATCTTTAGCGTTTTAACGAAAATGACCCCCTGAAGGCTTCTTAAAGCAATAGGTTAGTTGTTAAGTGCCACTGAGTGGCTTATATCTCGTAACTCTGGGCCCTGTCCTATGCTGAGCCAGTTACACTGTCTCCAGCACAACTACCCCCATTACCCCAGTAGTCACTGCGTCAAATGTCTGTCTTGAGTATTAAGTTCTTTTAGGAATTATCTATATGAAAAAAAAAAAAAAAGAATTATCTGCATGAGATTAAACACACAACAGCATACTGAATGACTGGACAGGAACTTTGGGGTAAGTTTATGTTACTAGGGGAGCAACGACTCAGATAAGGAGAGTTTGTACAACTCAGAGTGTAATCAGTGCCAGGAAATTGTATTTGGGGAAACTTTATGTACAATGTCATCAACAACAAAATATAACTGGGGAAAATTAGAATTCTGTGACAAAAACAAATCCAACCTTCCATATACGCTACGCCTGCGGATACTAATGGACAGAGGACAGGAAGGCTGGCTTACCCAGGCTGGCCTTAGGGCTCATCTATGCCTTCTTTCACGTTTTCTGAAAAGTACTTACACATTCATCTTACAGTGGAAATGAAAATGTCATAATTTACCCACTTAACTAGTTACAAGAATAACAAACAGCATGTTCCTAAGGCATCTTGGTTTTTACAAACTCTGACTGTCTAGAGCAGGGGTCAGCAAACTTTGTGTAAAGGACCGCACAGTCAATATTTGACTTTATGGGCCACACAGCCTCTGTTGCAACTGCTTCACCCTGTCACCACATGAAAGCTATCAGACTTAACGGCATGGCTGTGTGCCAGTGAAACTTTGTTTATAGTAGGGAGGCATGCTCATTTAACTTGAGGAAAACAGGTTTCCAACTCATGACCTGCATCCAAGTTTTTGAAAGGGTATGTTATGATCCAATGTTGTTATGTGCCATCAAGTCTATGACTCACAGCCACCAACTCCTTATCCAGTAGGCTGGCAGAACTCTGTAAAGTCCTATACTACTACAGGCCAATTACAGAACTGTGTACAGGAGGTGGGAATAAGTGTGAGCGGCGCTAAGCCTTTACCATTGTTTTCGAAGATCTGGCGTGGTCAGAATAGTCGAGGCAATCCGGGCTCCATTGAGAGGAGGATTGGAATACATTGGACGGATCAAGATCTTCAACTGTGATTCCACCCTTTTGGCCGTATCAGCATCCGCACACACCACGGTGAAGGCCCCCACACGCTCACCTGCAAAGAAAAAGTGAGTCACGCCTTCTGTTCTTACAGTCTAATATGCCAGAGTAAGTCATGAGTAAACCTGCAGGTCTCCTGTGGTTCATGGACCAGTTACTTTTTTGTTTAGAGATGCAGTGAGCAGTTTTCTTTGCTGGATGAATTCAGGGACACTGAAGAAGACAAAGTGCACGGTACCTTGCCAGTTTCTCTCCTCTAGATAAGGAGAGTAAAAGGGAATAGGTACATGTATTATCCCTCCCCTACCAGGGTCTTTCGTCTTTCTCTCACACATACACACACCGCCCCACACACCCACCAGTCACATGCTACACCTTCGTAGTGACTTCTCCCAGTTATTTTTCTTTTTAAATTTTTTTCTCCCAGTTATTTTTCAAATTCACCTGGAATGCACCGTATTGCGTCCATGAGCTTACCGTATAAGCCCATGTTCTTTGCGTACGATTGGCAGAGACAAACATCGATGCCCTGTTCGATGAAGTGGCGTACGGCCCAGGCATCCTTGTTACCGTCTCCGCTGGCAAAGCCTTGGTAGGCCATGTCAAAGAATGCATACAGATTCTTTTTCTGGAAAGAAGACCAAAACTTTTAAGCATTCCATCTGAAAAAGGCCTCAGATGGTTACTGTGCTTTGGAGTGGTTTTCATTTTACTTGAATTAGGATAGTAACATTCCCTGCCGACACCCCCAAACTCGGATAGGGATAGTATCCTCTACTGGGGCTGATGGAGCTTGGGCCTCATTCACGCCACCTCATCTTGCAAGCGCTCTCTGAACGTTGTGGTCCTGTCTCACCCCGTCTGCAGCTTAGATGTGACAGAAAATGTAAAAAGTCTTGACTAGGAGGACGTAACCACGATGAATACCATTTTCTCCTTTCGGAATTTTGATCAGTGCTTTTTCTAGTAATTGATTATGCTCTAAAATAGCAATGCTGAGAACAGTGTCAGGGAAAGGCAGAGACATGTGAAAGGATGACAGATTAACCGCTGGCCAGAGCAAATGCAGGCCCAGCAGCAGATCTCCTGGGGCCTAAGGATGTTAGCTGTGCAGGCTGGCCAATGACAGCCTTGTACGGCATTACCTACATCCAGCTGAGGTGTGAAGGTTATTTTCAAACTGCTCATGTCTACAAAACTGTAAATAAAGAACTCTTTCCTGGCAGCTTACCAGGGCCAAGGATAATGGAGCCTCACTGTTACGTCTCTGCCAAACTAAGTATTTTCTAAGTCAAGTTAACCAACACAGAACGGCTGCCGGCCAAGTTCACCCTCCTCACCTTCACCACCGTGGCTATTTCCTTCCACTGCTCAGGACGAGGGTCCACTCCCGTGGGGTTGTGAGCACAGGCATGCAGAAGAAGAACACTTTGCTCTGGCATTTTCTAGAGAAAAAGAACCAACAGATTGCCTTGCCGTTTTGAAAGCGATAGTTTACCTCAAATGCCCTTGGGTCACTATTACTGGATAAGGGACAAAGGTAACCACCCCCCAAAAGATAACTTGAGGTCTGGGAATAAGCTTACCCCTTATGGTATTTTAGGTGAAATACTGAGGCCCAGTTGGACACATCAAATCACCATACGCAGGTTTATTCCTCGTTCCTTCACCTTTTCTGCCCAGAGCGCTACTCACCGAAATGTCTTCTATAGCACCTGAGAAGTCAAAGCCACAAGTCTTGGGGTCGTAGTATCGATAACCGTGTAGCTGCATGCCAGCATCCCTGAAGATGGGCGTGTGGTTTCCCCAGGACGGTTTGGGCAGGAAGACATCTCGGCTGAACTTAAAGAATCTTTGCTAAATGAAGAGAAGAGGCAAATAATAAAGTCGGTGCTTTTTACTGAGAGGACATTTTTCTCTACTGGAACCCATCTCCTCTCTGTGGCTGAGACAGCACTGACTCAGACGGGGACGGGGTGGGGGGTGAATTCTGGGCTCTGAAACAACACTGGCTCTGTAGCCACGCGATTCTCTCACCTTCTTTTTCCTTCTGTGACACAGAATTAACTCTATATCCCTTTTAGAGTTATTACAAGAAATAAACAAGTAAAAATACCAAAGCTTTGATAACACTAACGGTTAAATAAATTATAGGTATTATGCCAACCGTTTTCTCTTACATGCAATTTCTTCCAAATACATTTATTTTTCTTGACTATTTACTAGAGAATAAAACAGACTCTCAAGCGGCGAGGATTCTCCTTCATAGGGTTGCTATGAGTCGCCTGTGACTCGATGGCACTTAACAACAATGCAACAAAATAGACTCTATTTATCAGCCAGCTTTGTGGAAAGGGAACATCTATTTCTTTGGTTAAATGGACAAATACACGTGCTACAGGAAAACCCATCATTCTAAACATACAGAGCATCTTTAAGATCCTTCTTGAAATGTTCATTAAAAGTAATAAAATTTAATAAAATAATTGTTTATAAACAGCCAAAAAAAAAAAAAAAAGATGCTTCTTGAAGGAGATTCCAGACTCACCAGAAAACTAGCTCCAATCCTTAATGCCCCGGTTCCAGAAATGGTCTGCACGGTGACATACTGATGGGGAGACACAGGCTCGGTCAGGAAGATGTAATGTTAGCTACACAAGTCTACAACTCATTACCAAAACTGAGCTCAGGCCCACAGGCACCCTGCTCTTCCAGTCTGTCTACTTTGTAGGTTGGAAGCGGAAAACACCCCCAATAAATTATCTGCAAGAGGAGAGACAACTCTATGGTTTCACTTCCTCACTTGCTAAGAGACAGACTGATTTTTCTCAGCTGTCCCCAGAAGTGCTGTCCCTCCAGGTTCTAACACTTCTGCTAGTTCGGAAACTAACCTTTCATTGCTTGTTATTACTGGTATAATAACCCCAATGTTATATGGGTAGGACACAAAACGTCCTTCTCAACATGAAAAAGTAAGTGATTTAGTCAAAGAAATTTGAGACACTAAGAGCCTTCAGCACATTAAAACTACAAAACTCAACACCTATGTTCCTGGAAAGGCAAGTCAAGGAGTAAACGAGGACATCAGAGCGAACCACAGGTCCGAGCCTTGCCCTGTCCTGCACCATTCTCATGATCTCTGACAAGGGCTTGAGCCCACTGCCAGTCACTCTCAGTCCATCTTGCTGGGGCCTTCCTCTCTTAATCCAAAGGGATGCGAAGAGGAGACACCAGTGCTTGCCCTCAGGGCTGCAGTGACGTCTCCAGGCCTCTGAGAGCAGGCAGGAGACCAAAATGGGAGCACGGTCTTTCTCTTCAGGTCCAAACTGGCTGCAAAGGTAGCACAGTGGAGGCTGACTGGCCTCAGCTCCACCAGTCTGTGACTTGCCTCCTGCCTTCTTTCTCAACATAAACTAGAAGCTTAGGACATGAGAATGTGGAAAATTACAAGCCTAAACCAGAGAACATTAGGCATTTCTAAAGATTCTTCTTGTTGTGTACTGGAGAATCGAACCGACTCGTAGCTGACCCTCTGGCAGGTTTACAGAGGCAGCTAGCTGCACGAGAGGAGACTGCCCAGCCTTCTCCAGCAGAGCAGCCGGTGGCCTCAAACAGCGTGCCTTCTGGATTGCAGTGCAGCTACTTGCCACTAGGCCACCAGAGCTGGCTCCTAAAGATTCTTAAACCTGTTACTATACGTGATTCCTTTTCTTTCTTTCTTATGTTATTACATAATGAAGACATATTAGCAAGTGTGGACACTAGCATATAGTCATTACACATAAAAGGTGCTATCTTTTCATATTTAGTTAAATCCCACCCCCTGCCCACCTTACCCGGCCACTTTTCAACACCTCGCTGTTTTCACCCAGGGCCAGTTCTGCAGACGCCTTACAAAATTCTGCCAGTCCTCCAATGGGGAGGTATTCCTTGTCCAGATTTTTTGCAGCAATCTGAGCTTCTGCCTAGACAGAAGAAGACACATCAATTTAATTCACGCTCCTTACCTGGAATTAAGATTAATAGTTAATGTTTTATTAAGTCACCTTTTAGCAGTGAAGCCTTTTTGCCTTTCATTTTTTACGGTTTCCTTTTGCCTGCCTACAAATCTGTTATTGTGGTGATTATTAAGATGTATGTAACAGGAGATGTGACAATTCAGCATTTTCCCCCATGTACAATTTGGTGACATCACTTACATTCCTGTTGTGCAACCACTACCACTGTCCATTTCCAGATTCTTCCAGCGTCTTAACCGGAGCCCTGTGTCCACCGAGCAATGAGCTTCCCTCTCCACTCCCCGTACCGCTGGTAGCCACTAGTACACTTTGGTCTCTATACATTTGCCTATTATAGGTATTCTGTCTATTACATTATTCTATACATATTCCATGTGTATTTTATTTATTTTCCCAAGTATATTTTACATATCACATATGATGGAATTACGTATTTGTCCATTTTTAATTAACTTAGTCACTCAGCATGTTTTAAAGGTCCAGCCATGTTAAAGCATTGTTTTTTCCTATTTGAAGTTACTGTCCAAGAGAAAGGATAAGTAGAACATCTAGTATTTTATACTGCAGAACAGAAATACCTTTTATTTTTCAACCATATTTTATAGCTTAAAATTTTTTTAAACATTTTTAAAAATTTTATTATATTTTGTGTGTGTGTGCGCTGTCAAATCAGTTCTGACTGGTACAGGAAGAGATTGCCCCTCCTTCTCCCGCAGAGAATCTGGTGGATTTGAACTGTATATCTCTGGGATTGCAGTGTAGCTTCTTGCCACTAGGCCACCAGAGCTCCCTTTATAGCTTAAAATTTTATTATCATGATTTGAGCAAATTCATTTTCCTTCCAATCATTCATACACATTTGGCTCAATAACATTACTGATTTTAACAGCCACAGTGTAATCACATTTGCCCCACTTCTCCCCCGTAATTCTGATTTCCATGAATCTTTCTATACCTCTGTGCCATCTCTTTCTTTAGTGATACTGTGCTGATCATTTCTTTATTGGATATGGCTTTTCCCTTCACTTTTCTTAGTCTATTATCTATAGTTATTTTTAATGGCTAATTTCTATGTCGACTCGACGGCACATAACAACAACAACAATTTCTATGTGAATGGATATACAGTTTACCATTCATTCGAAAAGAACATTCTTAAGAAAATACTAAAAAAAAAAGAACATTCTTAGAATGGGCAAGAATGGTGTTTTCAAGAGCAGCCCTTCAAGTAGATATGAAAATGAGATAAAAACATAAAAGAAGTATTTCAAGGTAGACACTATTCTGAAAACACCAGTCTTAGTAGTAACAGCTACCGTCTTGATGATCTGGAGTCAGACCTAGCTGGCTTTGCATTAATGAGCTGAAATGGATTGGTATTGGCCTTTCCGAATTGGAAAATTGTATCATTTTCTGTGCTGGGAATGCCATACTGAAAAGGCAGGCGTCTTAGTCATTATAAAAACCTATTTCTTAGATCTATTTTTTTTAAAAATTTTATTCTTTTTTGTGCGTGTACTATCAAATCAGATCTGACTGGTACAGGAGGAAATTGTCCCTCCTTCTCCGGCAGAGCACCTGGTGGATTCAAACCGTGTACCTCTGGGATTACAGTGCAGCTTCTTGCCACTAGGCCACCAGACCTCCCTCAGATCTATCTCAAAGTATTAGTGATAGAGAGCCGTCAGTGACAGAATCCTCATATGTCTACAAGGAAGACCTGTTCTCATGACTGTAACTCAAATTTATGTAGAACCACAGAAAAAGAAACTGAGGATTCATACTAACTTCTGCAGTGTGACATGGATCAAACACGTCATCGAGATGCATTGATGACTGGTGGAATGTGAAAGCTGAAAACAAAGGAGGATCAATAGTTGGAAAAAATACTTTTCCTAATAGAAACTCTGCCAGAGGTTGCATGATAAGAATTTTGCAAAATCAGACACTTAGTCACTGCAAACACTGTTTTTCAACAATTTAACTGGCAACTTAACAAGTGGACTTTACTGGATGGAATACAGAGGAGTCAAAGTCATCTGTAGAAATGGAGCAGCTCACTATTATCAGTGTGAACCAAGCCAGGGCTAATTGTGGAACCGACTACTCACATGAGGCTTAAGAAATTAAAACAAGCCCATGAGAGCCAAAAGATCTCACCTGAATTAAGGAAGAAAGCAAAAGATCTCTAGAAAGATAGGAAAGAAAGACTGAAATGGCTATTAGGAGAGATTCTGAAACTTGTTCCTGAACACAGTGCTGTTAGGTGCTATCCAAAAGACTAGGCCTCACAGCCACCCTCAGAACAACAGATCAGAACCCTGCCCTATCCTGTACCATCCCCTCGGTCTCTGTCAGGAGGGACCAGTTCCTGGAGAAGGCACCACACACGGTAAAGTAGAGGGTTCAGAAGACCCTGAATGAAGTGAACTGACACAAGGCTGTGACAATGGACCTAAACCGTGAGGACGGCAGGCCTGGGCTGTGCTGGGTTCTGCTATACAAAGGGCTCCTACAAGTCAAAAGTAATGTGTGGCGTAGGAAGTCTCCTGTTAAGGACCTCTCCAAAATACTAAAAAGCCAGGATGTCAATTTAAAGACTAAGGTGCATCTGATATAGGTCACGGTCTTTCAATTACTTGCTATGCATCTGAGAGCTGGACCATGAATAAGGAGGACAGAAGAAGAATCAATGCCTTTGAGCAGTGGTGTTGGAGGACAGTACTGACTAACCCACAGGCCTGAAAAAGAATGAACAGATATCAGCTGGAGTGCTCCTTGGAGACAAGGATGAGGAAGGTTCGCCCCATGTCCTTTGGGTGCTGTCAAGAGGGGCTATTCTGTGGAAAGAGATCTCAGGCTTGGTAAGGTGGAAGGTCAGCAAAGGCGAGGAAGACCCTCAATGGGATGAAACTGACACAATGATTGCAGCCTGGGGCTCTAGGAAGTCAGAGGTGACGAAGATGGTGCAGAACAGCACAGGGTTTAGATCCGTTGTTCACAGGGATCATTATGAGTAGGCAACTGCACGACACACAACAATATACTGCATGTGGCTCCAAGAATGAAAATGTCTGATGCTGTTCCAGTTTGCAATAACAGTTAATGCTGGCTTGCAACAATAGCTAGTACTTAGAAATCTCTTCTGCTTATTCACTCCGCTCACTCAAGTGGTTCAGGAGTGCCTCAGCCAGACTGTATCGCAGTACAGAGCCTGGGTTCCTACTGAGCTCTTTTTTAACTCCATTGCTTTAACCTTAAGAAATAGAAGTACAGAATATTGTACAAGTTTTTATTACATGATGACAGATCCTTCACAAATTTGCATGTCGTCTCTGTACAGGGGCCATGCTAAATCTTCTCATTTATAGAGTTCTTTACTCTTAATTTCCACTCATTGTGCCTAATTCTGTTACATGAAGTAATAACACATAACCACTCAACTGTCAAAAGTAACAAAGCAGCATATTCATATTTCATCAGAAGAGACAGAAAGAAATAGCATCTTTGAAAATAAACTATTGTAGGTGAATTATAGTATATTATTAAAATTAAGTTATAACCAGTGGAAAGATTACAAACGTGACTAAAAAAACCCAAAGAGTAAAAAAGAATGCATTTTTTGCACATTAACGACGTAATAAATGCCAAGGTGTGCAGCAAGAACCATCTTGGTCATGATGGTTAATAATTAAGGTTGTGCTAACGCAGCTAAGTCGTAATTCTCAGTGGTCTGACAGGATGAAATGATGCAATCAACTTCCATTTTAAAACCTGATGTGGTTTTCATAATGGCCATTTTCACATAATAATGTGGTCTTTGCAACTTAACCAAGTTCATGTTGGGAAGTGGGGAGTGTGTGCAATCAAAATAGAAGGTAACCATGAACTGAAATTGACATTTAGTGCATAAAAACAATCAAAATGAGAGAAATGGGAAAGAAACAACAGTAACCTTCATCCAACAGGCAATGTTTAAAATCCTGTGCACCTTCAAGATTCAATGTAATACTGTCTTTTCTGCACCCTTCTCCAACAGATTGTCACAAAACCACAGATGGACCAATCTGGGAAGAGGTCATGCAGTTTCTCCCTTTTCTAGTAGGGAGATGCTGAGTGATGAACAGTTAGTGCTAGCAGTTATGGGAGCTCAGACCTCCTGATTCTTCGTCAGCAACCCCACCCTACCACCCTCAACAACACTCTCCCATTAATTCTCCCGACTCAGCAGCGGATGATGACAAGCTCACCTTCCGGACACTAGGAAGCACGTAAGGCTTTCCGTTATCGTCTCGGTAGGCCCCGACTCCCAGGTTCATCTTTTTGCTGTTGGTATCTCTCTTAAAAGCTTCTGTGACTCCCAGGATGGGATCTGGGGGCCCCATCTCCACGTGGGCCCACCAAGAGCTGAAATGAGAAACACAGGGCGTCAGTCAAGGTGGCTGGATCCTCAAGGCCAAAGTCTCTGATTAACCAAAAATCTAGTTCAAGAAATGTCTCTGCATGTTTACTACAGGATTAACAACAGGCACCGACACATCAATTTATAAGATTTCAAAGCAGCCTGCAGACAAATGAAAACCTTATTTCAACACCGATGCTACAAGAAACAGAAGAGTAGAGGGAGAGGAAATATGGCTAGGCTTTTAGAGTGGTGCAAATCTGACCTAAAGTAAAGAATATTTCAAGTAATTTGGCAGTGAGATGACAGAGCAAAGGGGCCTAGGTTTTATGCTATCCAAACTTATCGGGAGTGTTGACTGTGGTGCTTGTCAGGCACACAGGTTTCTGGGCACTGTTTCTTTTTCTCCCTCCTCTAAATCTCACATGGTTAACTGATCTAAGGACTGCACATTTCCCAAGTGCACCTGGGAGACACCGTCTCAGAGGTTTCATCTGTATCTATCAGATCAGTAAGTTTTGTCTTTTTAAATTTTCTCTATAATATTTTTAGTGATACTCTGGTTTTTTTGAATTGTGATATAATGGAAGGTTATAAAAAGGCTGAATTTTCATTCATTCATTTTTTATTCTTCCCCTAGTACACTCTGTCATGTACTTCTTACTCTAGATTGTTAATAGTTTGGTCTTTTTTTAAAAATTATTTTGTTTTGTATTTTTCTCTTAATCGATCCAAAATCTTCTACTGTGAACACTTTCAGAGCTGTCTTTAGTGACCTGGGTACCACCTGCATCTTCTGGGATCCCAGGGGGCTGCAAGGAGTTGAAATCCACTTTATGGCAACTAAGAACAAACTTTCCGGAATTAAAAATCAGGAGGTTCTAATGTCTTACAGTCCCTTCATTAACGAAAGAGATTAAAAAGAATGTACTTCAATAGTCCTGGATGTTATCTCTGTCCAAGAGTCACCTGACTCAGCCAGGTAAATTCTGTTCCTGGAGAGGTATATCAGCACATACACTGCACTTCAAGTTTTGTAAGTGAAATGGAAGCTATTTTGATTGAAAGTTGTAATGAATGAGTAGTCGAGAATATAAGAGGGTCAACAGAGACAGAGAACTACCACCCTGTATGTGCTTTCCCCCCTGCCCCCAAGGAAAACAGAGTTGCAGCAGTCCTCAAATTGCTTGGTGTGCAGATCCCTTTGCTGTGGTTTTAGGTGCCAGCGAGTTGGATTCTCACAGAACTTCTATATAAAGAGCCAACCAGCCCAGCGCCATTCTCACAACTGGTGCTAGGCTTGAGCTCTTTGTGACAAGCACTGTTTCACCCTCTTGTCAGGGGGTTTCAGATTCTCCTCTTTTCCTCAGACTGTCTACTTTACCAAACGCGGGGTCCCTCTCCAGGGAGTGGTCTCTCTCAATAGCACATCCAAACTGAGAGTCTTGTCATCCCTCCTTCTAAACACTTAAAACACTCTCAGAACCCACTAGACCCTAAACAGCTTTTACTTACGTAGGTTACAACAATCAATATATACTATACAATGAATTAAAACTAAGAAATCAATTAATACTTGGTTCCTTTAAAAAGTGAAATCCTTGACAACATCAATCTTCTGTTTATTATGATGTTGCCTAGGTCCAGCCATGAGGACTCGTTTTTCTTTATAATGAGGTGTAATCCATACTGAAGACTCTTTGAGCTCCACCAAACAGTGCTTCAAGTCTTCTTCACCTTTGCCTCTCTGTCCTTCAAATTTAATGCTGAGAACTAGGGAACATTTGTAAAAGGTGCTTACAATCTGGAAAACACTGTCCAGTCTCATACTTAAAGCATAATAGCTACGAGACATTGGTAATTAACTGCATGGTAGGATTCTTGAGATAAGGGTTTAATTCCTGGCCAGTGTAATTCACATTTTCTATGCAATTACTTTCTTAAGTCTGAAGGGGGAAAAAACCCCAGCCCAGCCCAACGTATTTAACATTTTTTTTTAATTTTTTATTATTTTTGTGTGAGTGTACCGTCAAATCAGATCTGACTGGTACAGGAGGAGATTGTCCCTCCTTCCCCGGCAGAGCATCTGGTGGATTCGAACCGTGCACCTCTGGGATTGTAGTTGCAGCTCCTTGCCACTAGGCCACCAGAGCTCCCCCATATTTAACATTTTTATGGTATGCATATGTTGGTAATAAATCCTCTCGATTTTCTTGTCTGAAAATGTCTTTATTTAAATTTTAATTATTAAGAATATTTTTTATTAGGTATATAAAATTCTATGTTAAATTTTTTTTTCAGTCTTTTCAGATGCAGTTCAATTATCCTCTATTAATGTATCTTCAGATAAGTAATAATTCTTAGTGCTGTTTGTATTAATTTAATACCTTTGTCTTCTTGCTGCTTTTAAGGCATTAGATTACTTTTTGGCCAGTAGTTTAATGTCTCTAGGTATGGTTTTACTTGTACTTATACACCTAGAGTTTGCTGTGATTCCATACAAACATCTTTTAGAAGTTTGGAAAATCCATAAGCATAATTTTTTTTCAAATAGAAAAAAACAACTGTAAAAGCATCATCTTATTATTCAAGGAACATCATCACAAGAGTTACAAGGCAGATATTTTCTGCTTTTAAATGATACTTAGTTTTTTTCTAGAATCTTGTGAGATCCTGTTACCGTTTCCACACTAGCTCTGTGCCAGGACTCAACATTTTTTTTTTTTTAGTTTATTAGATACTGTAGTGTTTACTTAAGAACTTAGAATTCTCTGTTTTCAGCCAAGACCCATCTGACATCAACAATTTTTTTGATACTGCCTTTCCCCGACCTCATCTCCCTTACAGAAGCCAGAAGCTTTTTTTTTTTTTTTAATTTAGGTTGTTTATTTTTCATTTCAAGGACTCAACATTTTTATTGCTTTGGGCTGCTCAATTGTTCCCGGCAGCTGAAATAGTAAGAAATACAGATACCTCAAAGCAGTTTCTCTACTGGCCCTAATAAAAGCATTCGTTCTTAGCACAATTTAGAAAACACACAGCCACCTGCCTGTCTACATCACTGTCATTAACTGCTGAATGAAAGGACTATTCTGAATGTCAAGGACACATTACATGATAAAAGAGAAAAACTTCTCGTAAGCGATTTTCATTTTTAAAAACAAGGTTCTGTCTCTTAGGCTTTCAATGATGGCAGAGGTAAGCTACTTGTCCTAAATGCAATTAATCAACGCCTACCCACAACCACTAGAGCGGAAGGCCACATTCTTTTTTTTTAAAAAATATTTTTATTATCATATCAGATCTGACTGGTACAAGAGGAGATTGTCCCGCCTTCTTCAGCAGAGCATCTGGTGGATTTGAACCACTCACGTCTGGGATTGCACTGCAGCTTCTTGCCACTAGGCCACCAGAGCTCGCCGGAAGGCTGCATTCTTAAGTTGTGGGGAAAGTACTTATTTGTTAAGTCCTTTATAAAGGAGCCGTGCTGATGCAATATGTAGTACGCGTTACACTGTCAACCAAAGGTTGGCAGTTTGAATCCACTGGCTAGTCTGCTGGATAAAGATGGACACTTTCCTTCAGTAAAGATGAATGGCTGTTGTGAGTTGCAATCAATCCAACAGCACAGGTTTGGTTTTGGTGAGTTAAAAAGTTTATGTAACCCAGAAATTTAGAGACGTTATCTTTTAATAAACGATCTCAATATAGGAATATAGTTTTAGTCACCCACTCATGGGACCCTTACATGTCGCTATTTCTATCAGACAATACTCTGTTGTGCTCCAAAAGTGTGTGCCAATTTTTGGAAGTCAACTAACAGGTTGGAGGCTCAACTCAAACCTGTCCACAGTAAACCAAAAGCACAGAGGACTCAGATAAACATATCTCATCAACTGGTTTACAATGAAGTGAAGCTTTTATCTATCAGAGTCTCTGTAATTCTTTCCTCTTCCTGTTCATTTCCAAATAAGAAAAATGGCTGATTAATTTGTCCTAGGTCATAGTTTATTAAATACAAAGAGGTAATTCTTCTAATTCCTGATTACTGTATCACTAATTGCAGTTGTTCCTAAATTTTCTGTCATCTTTCCAAATATTTTCATGCTATTTCCTCACTTACTTCACTAAAAATTAAATCACAGAACAACTAAAACATGTAACTACATATCAAAATATGTTAGTACATAGTACTTCCCCCCGCCCTCAACTGTTATCTGGTCACTTTTGACTGTGCTTATACAGAAACAAGGAAAATAAGCTTCCAAGTTCAGTGCTTTCTGTTGAAAAATTCAGGTGAATTTAGAAAATGTTTCATTTATGTGACCCACAATAAAAATTAAGTATTTCATAGGATAAATCCTCAGTTCATCAGAATATCAAGTATCTACCACTTAAAGTGATATAACATTTAAGTCTGTAGTCCTAAAGGTTTTATTTAATTATAAAAAGGAAAGCAGCTCCTTTCATTATATTACCCCAATGGCTTTAAAAACTCCACTTAGATTCTTACAGCACTGGATCGTGGTGGGCTACGGGCTGGTGAGGCAGAGGGCATGGCTCTGGGCCCAGGCTCATGGGCTTTGTCCAGTAGGCAGAACAGCAGGCAGGGCTAGGCATGTTCAATTCCTGCCTGCTGGTTCCCAGCAATGACAAGGATGAATGGAAATGGGCTCGCAAAAGATTTTAATCCGGTGCTCACATAATATCCAAATTACTTAAAGTGCCTTGGATGCTTTCCAAAGTACCTTGGAATGCTTTTCCAAACAGGATTGGAAATCCAATCAGTAATGCTTGGATACTTTTCCAGTCAGGACTGGAGGAAGACTCAGCAACAACCTACGTTACGCAGATGATACAACTTTGCTTGCTGAAACTGAGGCGGACCTGAAGCACTTGCTGCAGAAGAACTGTAGTCTTTAATATGGATTGAAGCTCAATATCAAGAAGACAAAGATTCTCGCTATTGGGCCAATTGGCTGCACCATGATGGATGGAGAAGAGATTGAAGTTAACACAACTTTTTCAGCTCCACAATCAACACTCTTAGCACCAGCAGTTAGGAAATCAAGACAAACTGCATTAGGTAAATCTGCTGTCAGGGACCTTTCCAGAGTACTGAGAAGCAACTATGTCAATCTAGGGACTAAGGTGTACCTGATCCAGTCCATAGTCTTCACAATTATACACTATGCACGAGAGAGCTGGATAATGACTAAGGATGATAGAAGAATTAATGCTTTTGTGTCGTGGTGCTGATGAGGAGTCTTGAACACTCCATGGATCGCCAAAAACCAAATCTGTCTTGGAGAGAGTGAAACCAAGTTTTTCCTTGGAGGCTAGGATTTTGAGGTACTGTTTTACATACTTTGGGCATGTGGCCAGGAAGGACACATGTGTCCTTGGAGAAGGACATCATGCCCGGAAGTAGAGGAAGACCCCAGATGAGATGGATTGATACAGTGACTGGGGCAGTGGGGGTAGGTGTGTTGGAGTCAGACTTACTCAGGACAGGGCAGGATTCAGAGCTACTGTACACAGGGTTGCTATGGGTTGCAGGCAACTCAACAGCACATAACAACCACTACCACCACCACCTTAGATGCTAGGCAATGCATACCTGTGTTAGATAGAATGAGCTCTTTTTTTAAAAAAAGGTTAATTTTAAACCCTTCTCACTTTCACTATTTGGTTCTCAGCAAAGTTCACTTCCCCAGTAGCTGAAGCAAAGGCCCGGACTTTACTGCTATGCAAACTGTTCACACTTCACCAGGTATAGCAATCTATTCTATCAGCCAATCCTGCATGGAGAACTGTTTAAGTCCAAATGACACTCCAACAGTAGGTGCTCAAATATTTTGTGCCACTGGGATTCCCCTGTTATAGTTTAAACTATAAGATACATCAAAAATGGACATACATATTTATTCCTGCTGCATTAACTTAAAAAGTCAAGGTTTAAAGCAGAAAAGAATTCATTATGGAAGACATGCCAGGCACCATTCTGAGAGAAACGTTAACATTTAACAAAGTGGGTAAGGTCTCTGTGAGGAGCTTACATTCTAAAGGGGTAGAGACTGAAAAATGAGCTAGGCTCTTGAACTGAAAGAACGACTAAAAGGTCACCCCCTCAGGGACCTGCACCAAGCACTTTAAAGCAAGTCAGGCCACCCAGCCAAATCCAATTAAATACAGGATTACTTTAAGATTACTACAAATATGAACTAAGACTTGTCCTTTCTCACAAGTTTTAGGCAACCCCTGCCAGTCCTTTCTGCTTTATAAATGGAAGATCTCCCTAAATCTGGTCACCACAAGTAGGCAGGATTAAAGAGCACACCTAGGCTGAAAGCCAAGAAAGGGCCGAATCAGGCAGGGAAGGAAGTGTGAAGGCCTGGGCAAAAAAAGCACTGCCTAGAACGAGAAGGGACGGCCTGTCCTGCCAGTTTAAAAAGGATCATGAATGATTTCAAATGTGAGACCAAGGCTGGCACAAGAGACCGCGGCTTTGCCCCTTGTAGTGAATACGCGCTTGAGAGTGGCTGGAACATTATTGCCAACAGTGCATTCTCACTTGTGATGACTCTGTGTTGAATAGAAATGCTCCGTAACTTCACAAGGAACTGATCACTAGGTCTGTCTTCTGAGGCATTTTAAGGGGGTCCAGATTGCTACCCCTAGAGTACAGTCATACCCCTAGAGATAGTGTTTAATAATTTCTCACCATCTGGTGACTCTTGGGCCTTTCCTTAGATACCACTAAGGACATGATCCTAAATAGGCTTTCTGGCTGACTTCATCTCTTGGCTAACGTCTCTGCTAAGAATAAACCAAACAAAACACACTGATTTCAACTCACTGCAACTCAGCACAGAAGTATAGTACTGCCCCAAAATTTTCTAGGGGAGTTCTGGCGGCCTACTGGTAAGAATCTGCGCTGCAATCCCAAAGGCAAGTGGTTCCAATCTATCAGCTTCTCCTCAGGGGGAAGTATGGACAATCTCCTTCTGTACAATTTACTGCCTCTGAAAAGCCACAGGATGGTCAGCTATGAATCAGTTCTGACTCCATGGCACACAACAACAAACATCACTACAGGGAAAGCTATAATCTTTAAAGTAGTGGACTTTCAGGGAAACGCGGGACACCACGTGGAAGGTGCTCCAGAGCAGGAGGTGGGTGGTGGCGAAATTAGCTTCCAGGGAAAGCTCTAATCTTTAAAGTAGTGGACTTTCACTTCTTTCTTCTGCCCAGCTACTGCTGAGTTCCAATCAGTGGATCCAAAGCCCTAATCTTTCCGTTAGAAGTCCAATGCTTTAACCACTGGTCACCAGCTTTCTACCATGAGGAAGCATTTACCAGGTCCTTTTATATTCCCGACGTTTCTTGCTACATTTATCACAATTTGAAATCACACTTCATGTTCCTTTCTCTGACTTGTTCACCTCTGCACCATCAGCATCTGGTCCCTGCCTGGTCCAGTGCTTGGCTCTGAAAGACTTGGATTTCGAAATATTTAATGAAAGAGCAGAGTGATTTCGGAATAGTGAGGAGGAAAGGCAATCTCCCTATAACTCATCTTCAAAGAGTACAAAACCTTTCCCATCAAAGGCCAAACGAACCAGGAGACTCGAGACAGAACACAGATAAGAGGATGAGCCAAGGTCAAAGGTGCAGGAAAAAAACCCGATCCCAGTAGCCTGAACCCGAGAAGGTTCCTCTCGCGTACGACCCTGGGCCGCGCTCGCTCGTGGTCGCCTGCCCTACTCTGGGCCTAGGGAGGACAGACAGGTGCGTCCCGCCGCCCCCTAAAGTGCTGGTCAAGGTCAAGCGGAGCCCGGCGCCCCCACCAATGGGTGGGCAGCAGCGTCCGGGCCGCAGCGCGCCAACTCCGTGCCCGGGGCACCGCTCGCAGCCCCACCCCACCGCACGCGAGTCCGGGTGCCGCAGAGGGACACACTTCCTTCCGAGGGGGCCGCCGGGGCGAACGCCCGCCTGCGCTCCCGGCGGAGGGAAAGCGGGACCCCACGTGGAAGGTGCTCCAGAGCAGGAGGTGGCGAATGTGTGCGTGTGCGGAGGGGAATGCCCTCGGTCATCCGCCCCGCTGGCCTGGCCCCGCAGTCCCCGCTCCCTCTTTGCATCCTTCTCCACTTACCTGGCTCTGGCAGAAGCCGCGGCGGCGAGGCCTGGGTAGAAGGCAGCGGCAGCCCCGGAAAGGACGCGACTAGAGTGCAGCAGGGCCATGGTGGGAGGCAGGAGGGCAGCGGACAGAGGCAGGACCGAGCTGAGCACAAGTGAGCGCAGACGGGGCGGCGCGAGGTCCTGCCGAAGGTAAGGACAGCGACTTCCCCGGGCGGAGCTAGAGTGGCCGGTCGCCAGGCCCGGGCCGCACTACAGCGGCCTCTAGTGGCCGGGAGAGGCTCCGCGAGCCGGTGAGCTCACCGCGTGGCAGTCAGCCGGTCCGGATCACGTGACATCAGCACAGGCCAACGCTGCCTCGCCCCCCTCCGGGTCCTGCTGCACCAGACTCCTTACTGTTTCTTTCACTGCGGGTCTAAGAAGCAGCCTCTATAATGCAGACGTGAAAGAGGAGAAAATAGGCGGACATTGATGTTGCATTGTTTACGGTCAACTAGGCACCGACCTGTAGCTGACCTTGCAGAGGGAAGAAATTGCCCATCCTTCTCCCTTGGAGCCGCTGGCGGATTTGAGCCTTGTGCTTTCAGCATTGCAGCGCAGCTTCTTGCCACTAGGCCAGTTTTTTTCAGCGCTGTTAAGGGAATAAGGTCCTAGTTGACCCACCGTAAACCTTCAGCCATACTTTCCCTAAATGCATATCTCTTCACCTTCTTCCTAAATATTTACTTCTCCAGTCTGCCGTGAAACGAAGTGCGACCAAGTTGCTTTTTAGAGGCAAGGATGGTGAAACTTCGTCTCACGTACTTTGGGCATGTCGAGAGACGAAGGCATCATGTTGGGAAAGGTGGCGCTCAGAGGAAAAAAAGGAAGACTCTCAACAAGATTGATTGACGCAGTGACTGTTTCAGCGGGCTGGAACATATCAGAGATCTCGAGGATAGGGCAAAGTTTAGGTCTGTTGTTCATAGGGTCGCCTATGAGTTATAATCCACTCGGTGACCCATAACATGGAGAAAGGAGCCCTGGTGGAGCGGTAGTTAAGCTAACAGAACAGGTCTGCTAACAGAAAGGTGTGCAGTTCTGTTGGAAGACAAATGCTGGATCCTTTGCTTGGCCTGGGAGCCACTGAGATGAAGAGTAGAGGCATGATGTGATTAAGAACATGCAAAAGCTGAGATGCGGTGACTTCCCTCAGATTCAGTCCGGGCTGAGGTGCTTTCTATACTTCTTTTATAAGAATGAAGATTGCTGGTGCAACCACTGTGGAAGGTGGTATGGCACTTTCTCAAAAAGTTGCAAATAGAGATACCATTTGACCCAGCAATTCCACTACTGGGAATATACCCCAAAGAGACCATAACTGACATCCAA